AGGAACAGCCCGCAGAGCACCTCTTCCTGCTCTTGATTCCCAGACAGTCCCAGGAGGAGGAATTCTGTGACTGCAGTGTGGTTGTCCCCATCCATGTCTGTGGGGAATGATATACCAAAGTTACGCTAAACACTTTATACTTTGGAGGATTTTATTGGCTGATAGAAAATTAATTAAAATGTAATTATCTTGTATAATTTTAAAGTAAATATTTGGTTAAATTCAATAAACTTTCATTTTAATAGCTATATTTTTATTAAGTCCTCTCCTATTTTCTCAGTAACATACTTGGGCACTTTTTCATATAACATCTAAGTTCAATAAAAGGCATATTACATTTCAGTCTATAGACATTTACAGTTGGGGCAGTTCGCTGATTTTCTCAGATTCTCAGAGCCAGTGCAAGCGTGCGCTCCAAGCCATGTTGCACTATATTTTGATTAGCTGCCATTTATTGAAACCTCAAGCAAGTGACAAACTCTTTTTAAGTCTTCGGACTGTGTCTGTGAGTCTTCCATTTTCTCTGAATTTGGGGGGTACATGGGCTTTAAGAGGCTGCCCGGGCTTCATCCTCAGCCTTGCCGGTGAGACTAGCAAGTGACTGACGCTGCGACGTCGCCGCGTTGCATTGCCGAATATTTGTGGACCGGAGAGCGGAGGGTCTTGGTCTCTGACGCCCTCTCAAGTCACCTCCCCTCCGCGGAGCTCAGCCTGGCACCCGAGCAGCCTCCATCACAGCCCCTTTGTTGTGCCGTCGCGGACCGCAGCGGATAAGCTCAGGGGATCCACGGGCACCGGGGGGCGTAGGCGACCAGCAGGAGGGCTGCGGGTGGCGCAGCGGGCTCCCCGTGGGCTGCCGGGCAGCGAGCTCCGGCTCCGCTCTAGCAGCCCGCGCGCGGTGGCCTGTCTCCTCGCGTGTCCACTGCTGGACTTGCTGCTTCTCGCTTGAAAAGCGTGTGCGCTGCAGGAAGCCGCACGTCCCGCGCAGGGAAAGCCTCGGACGCGCG